CCATGGTCGAGTTAATCGAATGTTCAAGGATCGCCCCAGGCTCCTGCTCTTCGACATCGATCCAGGAGGGTCGCAGGGCATCGTTGTCGCAGGGTCGCAGGGCATCGTTGTCACCGACAGGTACCCCAAAGCACACTCCGGACGATATCTTGGAGGCCTTTGGCTTGCAGAAGAAGGTGGATGATTCCGATGATGATGCCGTCGTCGTCGTCGAGCCGCAGGCCCTTAAGGACGAAGTCGTGGATCTTGAGAAGGACCTCGTGACGATCAAGGACTACACCATCCACACCGATCATGCATTGGGCGTCTTGGTTCGTTTGCACAAGGATGGCAGGGTTGAGCAGGCAGACATGACGTCACCTCCGGAGAAAGGGTTCCTAGTCGGTGTCTTCGGCGATGGCGAGCGTGTGGTGTCTGAGTTGCCAAGCTTGCCGCCGGTTTCAGGCAAGATCCCTCAGGCCATCAAGTCCAAGAAGGCTAAGAAGTCTAAGAAGGCTTCGAAGCCTAAACCGGCCATGAAGAAGAACTCCAAGCCGAAGCCGGCTAAGAGTGCGAAGGCGAAGGATGCAGCTATTGCTCCTAAAGCTCAAGGTCTGGTCCCAAGGGTCATGAAACGAATGAAGGGCAAGCAAGCTGAGCCGCATGTGGCTTTGCACCGTGTGCGGGTGACAAAGGCCAAGGAGCCAGCCCGAGCCTACGTAACCGCCTGCCAATGCGGCAGTACCCCATCCCCCTCCTGCAGGCAGCAGCTCATAGTAGAGTTTAGTGCGAAGCACTTCCCTGCAGATTTCCATGAAAGGGCGATTCGTGCCCAAACTCGGATTCAGAGCGAGGGTCTCAGCTTCTTTGCTGCTCGAAATTTGAAGCAGCAGCTTGGCCAGTAGGATGTTTCATGTTCCATTTTATGTTGCAGCTATATGTGAATATAGCTCTGGGGGCTGGATCGTGCGAACACGGTCCAGCGACGATCGGGCCTGTGCAGCAAGGTTTCAAGTCTTGGTTTTAACCCTATATAGGCCGAGCATATATAACCCTCGATCTTCCCAAGCCCCATGCACATGCAGAGAACCGATATGAAGTGTTGACTTCCATGAGCTCAGCGTGCAGAGGCCAGGGTCTTTGATGATATGGCTTGCAAGCACTTTAAAGTGCTGGGGATCGGGCTCCAGATCGTGATCCGAGGGCAGAAAATATAGCACTGCTGCGGATTTGTACATATGCATGTTTTGTTGTACTTAAATAGGGCAGGTTATCAAGAATGTCAAGTTTTGTAGCCTAGGACGGTGCCTTTTGAGTCCCAGCCCTAAAGCTTGAACCCCGAAGCCACAAAACCTAGAGCTTGCTCGTGAACTTGGTCTAAAACTCGCTGAAACCCCAAACTTTAAACCCCGAAACCTTTATATCCCCTGCACCACAATGACACCTAAACCTCTAACCCACAACCCTTGAAACTGCTCTGCAAAGGTTCGTGTCGCCTGAGGTGCAGCAGATTTTCGGATGATTCGAGGCTGGTTGAAGTCATTAAAGATTTTGTGTTCCACAGAAGAGGTTAACTGATCGATCAGTCGACAGAAAGGATCTCCGTGTTGAGTTCCAGGCAGCTTTACAGCTCCTCTTAAGATCGATACTTCATGCGATTATTGCGATGGTTTTGGGTTTGGATATTTGCCCATGCAGGTCTATGCATGCACTGGCTCCTGACCGATGGGACTCTTCGGTGCAGTCTGCGCTGGAAGGACAGCTGGCGTGCATATGTGCATGTGATTGCATGCGAGTGCACGTGCACTGCTGGGTACCTGCATGCCCCTACAGGAGCATTAGGAGCAGAAGCTCCTGCATGATATCAAAGCACCCGTAGCGCTTTCGGCTTACAGCGATACCGGAGGTGATAAGTGTATCATATCGATCGATCATGGGTAACGATCTGTCCCGAACCCTGCAGCAAGTGGGCCAAGTGGGCCAAGCATTGGAGCAGCTGAATGCTCAGGGAGGCTTGCCAGGTGCACCTCCCCCCATGCCACCCCCACCCATGCCGCCTGCCGGCGTGCCTCCGGCCGTGCCAATCCCGAACCCTTGGCAATTCCCACCGCCGCCCCCAGCCAATGACGGCCCAACCACAGGCAATGACGGCCCAGCCCCAGGCAAGAATGACGATCAGGAGCCTCCTCGAGGCTACCTTCGCCGGTGCAATCGTGACAAACTTTACATGTACATGCATAGTCCCCCATATCTGTATAGTTTTGGTGTGCAAGAAACACTTGCAGTGAGGTCAAAGACAACTTGTTCGTGCAGGCGTCAAAGTCAAAGGAAAAGTTTTCATGGTAGCGGAGCGCAAAGTCGCTCCTGGGCCTTGAGATCTCTAGGAGGTCCTCGTAGGTGTAGTGAGCCCAACACGTAGAAGGCCCCTGCGAAATTCGAGCCATTGTGACCGAGTTCAGTTTACGCCATCCCTTCAAGGGACATGGCAGCGCAAGCTGTGGGGAGTCCAGTAGCGGTGAACGATGATGATGACATCTCAGATACCGGAATGAACCCGACGACGCAGACGGAGATAATGGCCCTTGCTAATGCAGCAATGGCCGCAGCCCAGGCTGCACAGGCTTCTGCTGATGCTATGCGTGCAGCATCAATCAGATCAGCAGGTGGCTTCGCAGAAGCCAACAAAGTCTTGAAGTACCCGGAACCATTCGGGAGCGAAAGTCATGACAGTGATGTTCTTGCATGGCACGATTGGTGCCACGGATTCAAGTCATGGATAATATTTGCCCAGCCTGAGTACGACAGCGAGCTAGAGCTCATCGAGAAGTCTGTAGATCAAGAGGTCCACCTTTCGGAGATGGCAGTGGAAACAAGGATGCGATCGCTCAAGCTCTACGCGATTCTCAGCTCTCTTCTTCGTTTCAAACCTAAGAACCTACTCAAACAAATCACGGACAAGAACGGTTTCGAAGTGTGGAGGCAACTACTTCGCATTTTCTCGCCTCGAACAAAGGCAAGATCGATTGCGTTACTTTCAGCGATAATGAACCTCCCAGGTTTCTCTCGAGATCGATCTCTTCGTGAACAAATTCAGGGCCTCGACAGAATAGCTTTGGAATACGCAAAGGTTTCAGGTGTACAAGTCACAGACGACGTCATGATGGGCACCCTGATACGGGTGCTCCCTCAGCGCATACGTGATCATGTGCAACTACAGTTGAGCGAGAAGAGCAACTACAGTTCCGTCAGAAACTATGTCCTCAGCTACGAGTTGTCTACTAGTCAATGGAGCTCAAACAGGGTCCACATGGAGATGGGAGTGACCAATCAACCTACAGATCACGGAGGTGTAGTCCCCATGGATATAGGAGCCCTTTCATTGAAGGGCAAGTACGGCAAGGACAAAGGCAAGGGCGACTACAAAGGAATGAACGACAAAGGCAAAGGCAAGGGTGATTACAAGGGCAAGAACGACAAAGGCAAGGCCAAGGGCAAAGGCGGTGATTTCAAAGGCAGTAAAGGGGGAAAAGGTCAGTATGGTGGCTACAACAGGTACTTCAGCAACTACGGCCTCAACTACAAGGGCGGAAAACCACAGCAGGAGAAAGGTGGTAAAGGTCAGCCTTGGAGCAACATGCGGAACGTAGAATGCTTGTACTGCCACAAGTTCGGACATTACAAGAGGGATTGCAGGAAATTTGCTGCTGATGTGGCCGCGGGTGTTGTACGTCAGGTAGAGCAGTCTGATACAAGCAGTGTGGCGCAGCAGAGTACTGCATCTACAGTGACACCGAGCCAGAGTGCGTCAGTTGCCATGCCAAAGCGGGTAGCGAGAGTTGAAGCCTTCAGCATTGCAGAGAGTGATGAGGTTGTTGATTTGACCGTTTTTGACATTTCGGACGGTGACCTTCATGTTGGAATGCAACAGATCGCGATGATGAGTGAGAAGGGCGCTGTTGGACAGTGCTCGATCCCAGGTTGTGATGTTTCGGAGTCGTCTGGGACGGCTTCAGCGTGGTCGTCTGGGACGGCTGGGCATTGACATAGAGGCGGTGTATGCAGCGTTGGACGTCTGTAGTTCGGAGCCTCTCAGTGTTCGTATGTTAGGATCGCGTGCTCAGCAACATGAAGTACCCGTAGAAGTGGACATTGTACTAGACAATGGTGCAGATGCTTCAGCCCTTCCGCTAGCCTGGAGTGGAGTCGGTGAGTATGCTGGTTCGGCCAAAGTGGCCGCAGGGTTTGTGGATGCTCAGGGCAACAGCCTCCATGTTCAAACGGTGAGAACGGCGGAGGTTCGATTAGGAGGAGCAGTCTTTCGCGAGAATTTCATTATTTCTCCAGTCACAAGTCCCTTGATTTGTCTTGGTCATCTTTATCGTGCTGGCTACTACGTGATCCCCGACAAAGGTTCAGGCCTCATTCTCACGGATGGTGTCACGAAGATCCCCATGGGCTATCGAAACCAACCGTTTGTCGTTAAGGGCTCGATTCGAGCCGTCAGCGGAGAGAGCAGCGGGAAATCAGTGAGTAGCACTGCGCTCAGTTTGCATTCGAAGCTAAAGGCATTGAGAGGTACGTGGTCAGACATAGGATTCGGTGCTGTGGCGTGCAAGTCGATGTCTACATGCTTCGTGGATACGACTCTGATTCCGAGATCAAGCATGTATTGGATGCGCACAACATTGGTGTGTCGTTCAGGAAAATGGGTTTTGGAAGAATATGCCGAAGATCTCCGAGACATTGGCGGTGATCTCACCAAGAAGTTTGACAGAGCCCAAGAAATTGAAGCAGTGATCACAATAGCCCATGATTCAAAGCTCACGCCTTCAGAACTTGGATTTTCGTTTGAGTTTTTGGCCCCTTTCCAACCAGAGAGAGAACCCAGTGCAAGCTCACAACCCGATCAGCCGCGGAGAGAGTCCAGTGCAAGTTCGCAGAGTCTTGAAGCCCAAGCAAAAGCCGATTCGGTGGTTGAGAGCGCTGAAGTTCGGGAGCATCGCGAAGGTGATGACGTTCCTATGGTTGATGATTCTGGAGTGTTCACCGAGCCCGCGGTGGAAGATCGCGACCCAGACATGCCTCCGAATGCAATTCAAGTAGAGAACCAGGTGATTACGAGCGAATCCTCATTGGAGTTACTTAAGAGTGCATGTGCAGCATGCGGTATTGCTTCTACCGGGAACAAGTCGCAGTTGTGGAAGCGCTTGAGTGACTTCGTTGTGCAGAAAGAGATGGTTGACCAGAAGAGCATCGCGCACACGCTTGAGAGAGAGATGACGCGGAGACCAGAGTCGCAGAGCGTGGTGTCAGCTCCCACGCAGCAGGAGAGAAATCGGCATGCGCTCACACATTACCCATTTCAACCGTGGTGCCCAGTTTGCATCGCGTTCAAGAGCAGGCAAGATAGGCATCCCAGTGTTGCAGATCACAGTGATTCCGCGGTCTCTGTTGTCTCGTTTGACTATGGTTTTGTTGGTCTTGAGGCAGCAGGTGATCAAATGACAGTGTTATTCGTGGCGGACAGGCAAACAAAGTGTCTGCATGCAATTCCGGCTAAATCCAAAGCGGGATCGTCACTTTCTCATCTCGTGACGGAGTTGACAAGATTTGTGAGCTGGCTTGGACATGATGAAGTACGCTTTCGTTGTGACAATGAGAACCCTATGAGAGTTGTAGCAGAGGGAGCGAAGAAAGCGTGTCGAGGATGTGGCATCAGAGTGCAGTCAGACACAACACCAATCGACAGTCATGAGTCAAATGGTCCAGCCGAGCAAGCAGTGCAAGCCCTACGCCAACAAGCATGCATCCTCATGAAACAAGTTGAACTTGGAGGTCTGAAAACTACGGTTGCTACAGACGAGAGTGAAGCCAAGCGCGACATCGACAACCCAGGAAGCATCTTTGGAATCAAACATCCTTTGTGGAGCTGGGCGGTGAACCACTCAGCATGGCTATACAATCGTTTTCATGTAGAACATGGCGAAACACCTTTTGAACGAGCCTGCAAAATGAGCTACGCCGGCAAGGTTTGCATGTTCGGGGAGCGCATCATGGCGTACATTCGCACAGGATCGATGGGCAAAGCAGCCCCTCGCTGGATAGAGTGCATTTGGTTGGGAAAGACAACCTTGAATGATGTTCACATTGTGTGGGCGAAGGGTGCTGGTGTGTTCGTCTCAAGATCAATCAGGCGATTTGAGCAGCCGTGGGACATCGATCTCGCTTCCAGCATGGATGTCTATGCATGGGAACATGGGCTAGCAAACCTTGGAGGTGTGCTCATCCCAAAGAAGCGAGTGCAGCATCCGAAGCCGACTGAGGTTCCTCTGATGGTCGACATGTTGCCGCCGGTGGCGGCACATAAGAGTGTGAGTGAGGCGGGGACGCATTCACCAGTTCGTGAAGGAAGTGATACACCCACGAGTCAGCGGTACTCCCCGTCCGAGCCAGGTTCGATGTCTTTGCCCGGTGAAAGCAGTGGGTCCAGTGACATGTCAGGAACAAGTGTGCATGCTGAGCCCAGACAAATTCTTCCTGGCTTACCTGTGCCCGCTGGTGAAACGCATAACCCAGGCGGACTACGAGATGTTCGAGATGGCGGGGATGGTGATATGGCCCGAGAATCCTAGACCTACGACTCGGCGACGAATCAACTTGATCACAGGAGCTGGTGGTCTTGTTCCTATTGAGGAATGCAGTGCAATTCGGCTTGTGTCCACACACGATGATGTGAAGAGTGAGTGCATTGTGAACGGTGAGGTTTTCACGCATGAAGATGAAGTCCAAAATCTTGTATTCGATACCAAAGCGGCTGAGGACCTTGAGAATTATGATTTCGATCTCGATGACAGCAAGGACGACATGCATCTTGGAAGTGAAATTGACCCTCGTCTCGCGGTCCCTTGGCATGATGAGTATGAGCCACAGATGACAGAAGACAGACTTCGAGAGTTAGATGACATTGCGGATCAACACGAGCTGAAGCGGCTCGGGATGATGGGAGTCTTGCTCCCGCCGGAGACTGTTAATGACGCGGGTGGCCTTATCAAGAAGCTATCCACAAAGATGGTTAGGAGTTGGCGTGAGAAGTCAACGCCGACAGGAGAACCGATTTGGCTGCGTAGGAGTCGGTACGTAGCTAGAGAGTTCGCTTGGTTAAGTGAGCGTGAAGACCTGTTTTCGCCAGCTTCGTCATGCATCGCACACCGCATCTTGCCGATGTTGGTTCTACAAAATCCTGACTGGGTTCTGGCGACGATAGACATCTCGGACGCATTCTTGACGGTAGACCAAATCGAGCCCACCATTGTCTCGTACATAGACAAGGATGGAAATGAAACCGTGTTTGCGTTGGGAAAGGTCTTACCCGGCCAAAGGTGTGGATCACGTGACTGGTACGAGTCATTCACAGAGTACCTGAAGGAGGAGATTGCAGTTGAAGTATGTCTTAGTTATCCCGTTCTTCTTCGCACACCCTCTCGAGATTGTCTCATGCATCTTCATGTCGATGATATCATGTCAGGGTGTACGCGTGAGAGACTGATGAGAGACATCCCCAGACTCGAGAAGAAATACAAAGTCCAAGTGAGCATTCTTGAAGTAGGTGGAAGCGTTCATTTCTTGAAGAAGAAGCACATTCTGATGTCTCCCACAGAAATGCTTATATGCCCGCACGTGAAGCACTTCGACAAGCTTTTCGAGCTGCTGTGCATCAAGGAAAATAACTACCCGAAGAAGATCCCCTACGATCCAAAACTTGACGAGCCAGACAACTCAGCACCTTTGGACAGTGCTGAGGCCACTATCTTCAGGAGTGCAGTTGGGATACTTTTGTATCTGAGTCCTGAGCTTGTTGAGTCGCAAAACACAATACGAGCGCTGGCGAGTTGCATGAGTGCTCCAACCCGAAGAGCGATGTGTTCATTGAGGCACCTAGGGAAGTACCTTCTTCATGCGCGGCATCATGCAGTGAGACTTCGTAGAGCTCGTGAGGGAGAAAGTCTTATGGGTCAATACGAAGACGTGATTCCAATCGAAACGATGAGTGATAGTGATTGGGCCTCAAACAAAGCAACCCGGAAGTCAGTCACAGCGTCCATGGTGTACATGTCTGGAAGCCTGATGTTCTCAGCATCGCGGACCCAGAAGGTGATATCACTATCTTCGGCCGAAGCTGAGGTGCACGCAGCAACAAGTACTATGATTGACGGTCTGATGGTGAAGACGCTTCTTGACTTTGCAACTGGCTCCTCGGTGACCGTAAATCACTTTATGGATTCGGCTGCAGGTCTTGGCATCCTTAAGCGTTCAGGCATAGGGAAAGTCAGACATTTGTCATGTAGAATATTGTGGACACAAGATGCAGTCAAGCGCGGTGTAGTGACATTGAACAAGATTGACACGAAAATCAACACATCAGACTTGGGCACGAAGGGCCTATCCAGAGCTCGCATCAACCTGTTGCTCAACTTTTGCGGCATCTTTGATTGCGAGTTGGAGTGTTTGGTAGGAGAGGAAGAGCGTAGACAGTTCGAAGAGCAGAGCACTATGAAACAAAACAAAGCCGTTTTGGGCAAGCTCTCGAAAGCGCAACTTCGTAGATTGATTGGGATGGTTCTGATTGGTGACGCCTTGGGCCCCGTCTACGGCATGAACACAGATCGTGATCGAGATGATTTCAACGGCATGATCATTCATTTAAGCCCGAGTACCATTGTGCAGATCGTTATCCTTTGGGGAGTCGTGATTGTCATCGTGATGTTGGTGGCAGCGGTGGCATGGTGCTACACAGTCGGGAGATCCAGAAAGGCAGATGCTGATGATCATGATGACGAGCTAAGTCCCAAGCACCGTGGAGCGAAATCAAAATACAGATCAAAGCCGCCACCACGTGATAGCACAGTGGATGATGTTCATGATGAGTTGGGGAATGCAAACATAAAGAGTATCCGCGCTGAGATGGACAAAGCAGAGTGCTCGATCTTTCTTCGCATGCGTGGTACAAGTTCTTCTTCAAACCCAAACCCGGACATGGAGCCACAAACACAAGCAGGTCCTCGAAATCCTCGTGAAGATCGAAGTTCGAGCGAAGCCAGTATGAGCACAAGAGCAATGAACGAATTGTTAGCCAGTCAAAGCACCGAAGAAGGTCATCCTGATCCGTTGGTTTGGGTAGCCCAGTTTCACGGGAAATGCTATCATAAGAAAGCTTGTGGAAAGCTCGACAGCGCATCAGCAGTTCGCTCGATGCGAAGATCAAGGGCGATGGAGAAGAAGTTGAGAGAATGCACATTTTGCAGACCGGGATGAGCGATGTGGTATGTGAGCCCATTTACGTGTGGCAAGCTTTACGCTACACAGGGCTTGAGAGTAATTCGGCATTTTGTCGTGAAAATTAGGAATAAGACTACACTGAGTTTCACTGTAATGGATTGCGCAGCTTCTAGACAAGAAAGACCCAAGGATGTCAAGCTGCGAATCGGTTGTGCATGGTCCAACACTGTAAGAGTGACCGGGATCTAGAACAAAATCATCTTCGCGCCTCCGGAAGCAGTTAGGTTCAGCCATGTCCCATCTTTTATATACACCCGCTCAACCCTCATTCGTTTTTTTTGCTAGGGTATACCCTACGTTTTCCAATTTCCAATAAATTTTTGCTCATTTTTGACATCCTCACCTCAGCCATTCTTACCAAATATTTTAATAAAAAAATTGAAAAATTTTCATAATTTTCATAAATTTTTCAAATTTCATTTTTTCAATCCACTTAAACAAATCATATTTATTTTATGATAAAAAATATTCAAAATTTTTATCATAAAATTTATCAAAATTTTCATAAAATTAATTTTTCAAAATTTTCATAAATTAAATTTCCAAAATTTTTCATAAAATTATTTTTCCAAAATTTCATAAAAATATTTTTTTCAAATTTTTTCATAAAAATAATTTTTCAAATTTTTAATAAAAATAATTTTCAAAATTTCATAAAAATTTTTTTTCAAAATTTCATAAAAATAATATTTCCAAAATTTCATAAAAATATTTTTTTTAAAAAATTGCATTTCACAGATTATCATAATTAAGTTTTTTTATCAAAATTTTATCATAGATTTATTATCAAAATTTATTTTATTAAAAAATTATAGTGCGTTTTTTGCTTTTAAATAACCCTCTAATTCATTTATTGAACCTTGTATAATTTTTAAATATTCATCATCCCAATATGTCGTGTTATTTCTCTCTTTCATTTTTATCAGTATCTCTTCTTGTCTTTTTAATATAACATGTTTTTTCATTCCATATTCAATACATAAGGGATCTAGTTCTTTTTCAAATACCTCTTCGTATATGCTTTTACCAATGTCCTTGCCTGTTACAACTTCCTTCATGAGTTTCATCATATATATAATACTATAAATTTTTCTTTTTAAAACTTTTAAAACTTTTAAATATATTTATCACCATCTTTAACAACCTTATAATATTCCATTGTTTCCGGTTTAGGCTGTAAAATTGCTCCATCGTTTAATTTCTTAATATAGGCGTTTCTTTTGTTCGCGTATGCCGCTTCGCTATTTATATTGCTTGTTCTGGATTTAGGTTTTTCACTAATAGCCTCCATTTTTTCTAATACTAAATCCATTTTATGATATATCTCTGAAATCATATCATAAACTTTATCATTAAAATCTTGCTCCACCTCTTCCTTTGGTTTTTCTATAATAGTTTCTTCTTTAACAACCTTGGTTTTACTAACTGGCATATATACAATATAATATAAAAGTTTTTTTTAAAACTAAATCTTTTTAAAACTTTTCCTTATCGCTCATGGCGCAATTGCATTTTTTACAATATGCTATACAATTACTTATCGTATGAGACTGGTCGTTAAATTTTCTTTGCGCCGTCAGGTTCGTTCTTATATTTCCGTTTATTGACTTTACATAAAAATCTACATTGCATAATTCGCACCTCCCGTTCAATCTATCTAATAACCAATCTGCTGTAATATAGTTTTTATGGTCAATTTTCCTTTTAGCTTTTCTGTCTTGTTCCTTATATCCTTCCACCTTTCTTTTCAAATAATTGTAAATACAGTTTTTATTAAAATCATCATCATCGTCATCATATTTATAAAAACTTACATGATTTAAATCAGTTGCTCTCGTGATCGCTGTCCATATCCAATTCTTATCTACCAAGCAATGATTGTAATCAAATATTGTTATACCTCCTTCGATGCTGGAACCTTGGACGCTGTGGCAGGTATAACAATAATTGAATATAAAATGCTTCCTCAACATATCCAACGGTAAATGCTGTAATACTACATCTTCTAGGTTTCTCAAAACAACAAAACCACAATCGATATCAATATGAACGATTTTGTATCTAAAATTCACTTGAAATTTATAAGTTGTTTATTTTCAATATTCTCTGCATATCATCACCTCGCCTACTTCATATTCGCCCTTTCTATTTTGCTTTTTTCTTATTTGGTTTGCTACTTCCTTGCAGGTGTCGTTCAAATAAGCTACATTATTTTCGTTTAGGTTCATGTCGGAAGTGTATTTGAAATATTTTTCTGCTAGCTCTCTGACCTTAATGTTATTTTCAAAAATGTCGATATAAATATTTTCTAATTTTTTCCTGTCTTCCTCTTTTCTTAACCTCTTACAAACTTTCAAATAAATATTATATTTAAAAATCTTATCAACACAATTATCAGCATATTCTTCGTGCTCCTGTAAATTTGTTAATTCCGATACTGGTTTTAATTGCTTACCATCTCCTGTTGCCACTATTATTTTATCTTGGTTGTTTTCAACAAACTCCCTAATTCTATTCAATACCCTCAAACCATTAAAGTAAATCTCGTCAAACACTATAACATCATAACCGGAATAATCAAACTTTTCTAACTTCTCGTCCCCGACTGCTATGGAAAAGAACTTATTAACTGTTACCGCTTCCTTTCCGTATTTTTGGACTAGCTTATTTGTAGGACATACAAATAAAACTTTCATTCCCATTCGCGCCATTTTTTCACATATATAACTTTTTCCAGACCCTGCATATTTTGCCCTGATCATAACTTGTTTAGCGCTAATAACTTTTTCTATGATACTTTTTGTATCATATTCATCATTAATTTTTATCGCTGTATTCTTGTAGATAGGGATTTTATCTAGTTCGTTCTTTTTCCTCTGATATGCTTCACTAGGTAATTTGATTTCTTCTCCTTCTTTATTCGTTCTCCATTCTCCTATACCATATTTCATTTCCAATACATGTTTAGCTTTTTCTACATCTTCTGATTTAATAACAAATGCATCTGTTTTTACACTAACTGCCTTTATAGAATTTTTCCTTAATTTATTATAATCCTGACACATTTTAAAATTATGGTCTTGAAGCAATAGCTCTTTTATGTAAATAAAACCGTTGTTTAACGTCGCTTTATCTGATACATTAACTAAATAATATTCATTTCCTTCCTCTTCAATTGTCTGTGTCTGTATAGAAAAATCACCATTATTTATATCACCGTCATAAACTGTTTGGTTCCTACATTCCATTTCAGTTATTTTATGAATTTTTCCTCCGTGTCTTAATTGAAAATCTGATGCTTCCTTAATATTTTTAAATACTATACTTTTCTGGTCTGTGCTACCGGTTTTTTCCAAAAGTCCGATATTAATATTTACAATAAGTTTTTTAATCAGTTTATCAAGCTCTTCTTCATCACTAATATTTTTATTCCATAACTCTTTTACATAATCATTATATTCTACCTCGTGAATAAATGATGGTGTTTTATAATATAATATGTTTAATTTATCTGTGTTAATTTGTTTTAAATATTTTCCATAAATAAGGTTGTATCTCTTGTTAAACATTAAAAAAGTGCTGTGCTTTACAATTCCATTATGGCTACAATCCTCTATAAAAAATAATGTATGATCTGACATCGTGTAAAAATCCATCTCTTTAAGCCATTTTTTCCAGATGTCGAACTGATTGAAAACTGGTATTTGTGTAATCCCTACTAGTCTGCTTGTATATGCTTTTGTTATGTCAATCTCTGTGATATCTTTTGGTATAGAACCCTTATCTATAAAGAGTCCTGACGGTGGTATGGTTTTTGCTTCGTGGTAAATTTCTAAATCCACTTTATTATAAAATGACTTGTGTAATGGATTAAATAGACTCTTATTAAAATGAAACATCGCTTCATTCATATTATTATATGTTTTTTCATTATCAACTGTTATACATCCATCGGAAGAGCCTTTAATCAGATTTTGGGTTTTTATTATAAAGGTAGTTTTTTTAAGTTTCAATTTTATCACCGTTATTATACCGGCTTGAAATCTGATCTGAGGTTCATATCTTGCATTAACTAATTCAAAAAATATTTCAGTCAAATTATTTAATTCAGGCACTCAATGAATTGTTTTCGGCTCTTTATCTTTACTGACCATCCCTAAAATATCATGTGTATCTCTGAACATTTTAAATTCAGGTGGTTCTTCCTTCTCATTTAAATGATAGTCTGTCGAAGCTTTTACAAGTGGCTTTTTTTCTCCTTCGTCTTGTTTTTGCTCTATACTTTTTAGATCGTTATTTATGGTGTATATATGGCTGTTTTTTACTATGGCATAAAACGGCTTTATTCTTCGTTTGTTACGTTCAGGCTCGTGTTTGTAAATCAGTTTATTAAAGCTGTTATAAATTCTAGCTGGTATTTTGAAAGCCTTAAAGACTTTATCCATTTCTTCAATACTTGCACCATTGCTATAAAAATCGCTTCTGCCTATAATTTCAATAATTTTTTCTCTGGTCAGTTGATTTCTTTTACCATAGTCCATTAAAGTATCTTTATAAAAATCAGATAATGAATTTATCCAACATTGATTTTCTATATACGTGCTGTTTTCAATGGCTTGTTTAAGTGTTGTTGAGTTGCTGTTAAGGTCGGTGTAAATATAGCGATGATACATCGATACGTGTTGTATTCCGTCCGTTAGGTTTTCCTTCAATATGTCAAATTTCTCACCTTTTCTATTGATTTTTTCCACCTGTTGAATTTTTATA